GCAGGGAGGGGAAGGTGAGGGGGGCAGGTGCGGGGGAGGGGGTTGCACTGTGCAGCTGAGCCAGGAGATGCCAGGGGGAGAAGTGTGTTGGCGGGGTTAATTGCACCTTCTCCGGGTTTATGCCGCTGGCCTCTCACCTGCTGGTACCAATTCTCTCTGGTGCTTCCCTGTTGCTCTCAGTATCACAGGGGTCCCTAACATCCAGAGGGACCCCCTCCCCTTACCTCACCAAGGCTATGTCTACACTCGCGGCTTCTTGGCAAGTAATATGCAAATGAGGCTAAGCGTGGAATATCGCCCAGCCTCATTTGCATACCTAATGAGCCACTATTTTTTTCAGAAGAGGCTCTTGCGCAAGCAGGAGCGTCTACACTGCCCCTTCTTGCGCAAGAAAAACCCTCTTGCGCAATGCCATTCTTTCTGAAAAGTAATAGGTGGAACAGAATTGCGCAAGAGGGTTTTTCTTGCGCAAAAAGGGACAGTGTAGATCCTCCTTGCGCAAGAGCCTCTTCTGAAAAAAATGGTGGCTCATTAGGTATGCAAATGAGGCTGGGCGATATTCCACGCTTAGCCTCATTTGCATATTACTTGCCAAGAAGCCGCGAGTGTAGACATAGCCCAACTGTCCTCTCTGCTCCCTGTGCCGGCTCTCTCACATGTCCCTTTAACACCCCTCAGATGGGGGGGTTCTCTCTCCTCCCCCTTTGTGTCTGCTACAGCCATTTGTCCTTGTCCTGATGGAAAAGGGTTGCCTCCAGTCATTCCTCAAATGGAATCAGTGGAGGCTATTTAGCTGAGCTCTGACAGAGGTTGGCTTTGGGATGGGAGTACAGGATCTTTCAAAATGGGTCATTTCTGACGAAAATGCCCCATCTAAACGGGGGGTTTAAAAAACCCCCTTTGGAAAAAAGGGGGGGGCTGCCATTCTGCAAATGAAGCGAGGGATGTTTAAATCCAAACTTCATTTGCACTTTCGATAACTCTAATTTACATTCCTCTGCCAACAGAGGAGTGTTGTTTAGACTAGCCTCAGAGAGTAGTTATTAACAGTTCACAGTCATATTGAAAGGACATGAGTGGGATTTCTGCAGGGTCTATTTTGGGACTGGTTCTCTTCAGTATCTTCATGAACTATTTAAATATTAGCATAGAGAGTACAATTATTAAGTTTGTAGATGATACCAAGCTAGAAGGGGTGCTGCCATTCTGCAAATGAAGCGAGGGATGTTTAAATCCAAACTTCATTTGCACTTTCGATAACTCTAATTTACATTCCTCTGCCAACAGAGGAGTGTTGTTTAGACTAGCCTCAGAGAGTAGTTATTAACAGTTCACAGTCATATTGAAAGGACATGAGTGGGATTTCTGCAGGGTCTATTTTGGGACTGGTTCTCTTCAGTATCTTCATGAACTATTTAAATATTAGCATAGAGAGTACAATTATTAAGTTTGTAGATGATACCAAGCTAGAAGGGGTTGCAAATGGTTGGAGGATAGGGTCATAATTCAAAATGATCTGGATAAACTCTAGGGCTGTGTCTACACTGGCATGTTATTCCGGAAAATCAGCCGCTTTTCCGGAAAAACTTGCCAGCTGTCTACACTGGCCGCTTGAATTTCCAGGAAAAGCACTGACAATCTAATGTAAAATCATCAGTGCTTTTCTGGAAAAACGATGCTGCTCCCGTTCGGGCAAAAGTCTTTTTCCGGAAAACTGTTCCGGACAGCACAGTAGTGTTTTCCGCAAAAAAAAACCCAATCGCGAAAACGATGATCGGGGCTTTTTTGCGGAAAAGCGCATCTAGATTGGCCACGGACGCTTTTCCGCAAAAAGTGCTTTTCCGGAAAAGCGTCCTGCCAATCTAGACGCACTTTTCCGAAAATGCTTTTAACAGAAAACTTTTCCGTTAAAAGCATTTCCGGAAAATCATGCCAGTGTAGACGTAGCCTGGGAATGATCTGAGTTACATAGGATGAAGTTTAATAAGGACAGATGCAACGCACTTGGGAAGGAACAGTCAGTTTCACACATACAGAATGGGCAGTGACTAGCTAGGAAGGAGTACTGCAGAAAGGAATCTAGGGGTCATAGTGGACCAGCAATGTGACACTGTTGCAAAAAAAGCAAACATGATTCTGGGATACATTAACAGGAGTGTTGTGAGCAAGACATGAGAAGTCCTTCTTCCTCTCTATTCTCTGCTGATTAGGCCCCAGCTAGAATATTATGTCCAGTTCTGGGCACCACATTTCAAGAAGATGTGGAAAAATTGGAGAAGGTCCAGAGAAGAGCAACAAAAATGATTCTATCAAAAATGATAGAAAACATGACCTACGAGGAAAGACTAAAAAACTGGGCTTGTTTAGTTAAGAAAAGAGAAGACTAAGAGGGGACATGATAGCAGTTTTCAAGTATCTAAAAGGGCATTAGAAGGAGCAGGGAGAAAAAATGTTCTCCTTGGCCTCTGATGATTGGACAAAAAACAATGGACTTAAATTGCGGGAAAGGAGGGTTAAGTTCGACATTAGGAAAAACTTCGTAACTGTCAGGGTGGTTAAACACTGGCATAAGTTGCCTATGGAGGCTGTGGAATTGCCATCTCTGGAGATATTTAAGATCAGGCTGGATAGACATCTGTCGGGGTTGATCTAGACAGTGCTTGGTCTTGCTGTGAGTGCAGGGGACTGAACTTGATGACCTCTCAAGTCCTTTCCAGTTCTAGAATTCTGTGATTTAATGAGTTTGCTTCTTTCCATTTCATTAAAAATGTCAGTTAAAAATAGGAATGTAAGTGACTAGTTGACTACCCGATAAACCTAGGCTTATTGGGTAGTCGAGTCACTACTCAACTAGTTGTCCCCTGTTCTTTGCTGCTTCTGTATCAGAGACAGCAAAGGTGGAGAGCAGGAGCTGATGGTGGGGGGAGCTGGCTTAAAAGCTGGTTATCCCCAGCACTGTCTCCGTGGGGGCAGGGGAAGCAGAGGAGACAGAGATGCAGTGGTTGAAATGGCACAAGTTTGAGCAGTCCCAGCTCACACTGGATCCCAGATACTGCGCCTCTGCTCCCAACAAGCCACAGAGAACTCCCTTGTTGACTAATTGAGTAGTTGATGGAAATTCCATTGACTACTCAATTAGCTTCCCAACCGCTATTTAACATCCATAGTTAAAAATCCCTCTTAGTTTTGGGGTTGGTCCCCATGCTTCTAAATTGCAGAAACTTCTTTGTGGGAGGAAACCTCTTGCCCTAAATTGTTTTCCTCTTGGAGGTTGCAGGAGCTTAAACTGCCCAGTGGTCATCTGTCCCTTCTCCTTTGTAACAGGGCCTGACTTTTGTTCATAACCTGATTCTTGCTAACTTTGCTTTATAGCAGCAAGGGCTTTTACCAGGCCTCCTGTCTCAAGCTGTCTCTTTCTGCTACTCTGGGACTGGCATGAAAGTGACTCTGCACACACAACCTGTCCTTGTTTCTCCTCCCACTAGCAATTGCAGGAGCAAATCCAGCTGTGGGAGAGCAAACAATGCAGGGGAGAGCCTTTCCCAGCCAGAGGGGCAGAGACTGGGGAAGGAAATAGAAGGGGAAAAGGGACTGAAGGGACCAGTGGGAGAAGTGAATGGGGAGAGAGATTTCCAGTTCTCTTACCTAGATTTCCAGTTCTCTTACCCAGACATGTATTCTAGCACCCTGGGCAGCATCACTTTCCTATGAACAAATTGAGGATCAGAGAGAGGAAAAGCCAGTTACTGACTCCATATTTCCCTTGCTTGGGTGTCACATTGACCCCCAGGGCAGCAAGAGGGAATCCCCTGCAGTGACTCATTTGATTCTGCTCTTTTCCCATTTTCTGTCCAAAGACTTTGTTCCGGGGGAGGTTTAAAGTTGTGTTGTGAGCTTAGCCTGGCAGGAGGGGCCAGGTCTACATGGTAATAAAGAGATCTAGCATGGTCCCAGTGTGGCAGAGTGTAGGATGTCTGTCTGCCGGGAATGGCCTGGAGGAAAGGTGACGTGCAATTGATTCTAATCTGTTTTGAAACTTCCACAACCATCCTTCTCACCCCAACAGACTGTGGCACGACATTCATGTATCGCTCCAGCTCATCGCGTCCTGCCATGGCACAGGGCAGAGAAATGGCTGCAGCAGAGCCAGTTCAGGTAGGGATTTTTTGGGGGCTGCTGGTGGGCTCCTGCTGGAGGGAGGGGGAAAGATGCACAGGAAGGGGGAAAGCTTTGGAGGGTGGAGCAGGGTGGAGAAAAGGAGGAGGACAGAGAATGGCAAACCTTTCAAGACAAGGTTGAATATGTGGCTTAGATTTTAGGAACAGATCCATGAGATCTGGAGGTGGACGTGGCCTAATTTATGGAAGGGGAAAGAATGGGGCTGGGAGAACCAACCAGACTCCCTGTGCTGGAGCTTGACCCAGCCAACCAGCAGCTGCTGGGAGATATGAAGAGGGCCCCCTTCAGGAAGGCTTAGGGGAGCTGGTCTTCCCTTTACATCCAGTTCCTCACAATGAGGAGGGTGTTGGGCTTGCTACCAGGGGGCTCTACCCCTGGACCCTGCAAGGGGTTGCATCTTCAATATCAGTTCCTGGCTAGTAGGGGTGGGATCCGTCTGGTGGGAGAGGCAAGGGGCCTCTTACCTGCGTGTTTAATGAATGTTCTGAGCAGGCTGAGGGTGGGACTCTGATTGAGAGCCACCAGAGCTTCCATTTGGTTGGCTCCTCTCCCCCATGGCTAGTGGGGCAGTAGGTGCTGAGCAGGGTTGCCTATTGCTATTTCAGGGGCCGGTGACCTTCAAGGAGGTGGCTGTGTATTTCACCAGGGCAGAGTGGGCTCTGCTGGACCCCGCTCAGAGAGCCCTCTACAGAGCTGTCATGCAGGAGAACTACGAGAATGTGACCTCGCTGGGTAAGGAGTCCTTTCCCCGCGGTTCTTAGAAGGGGAAATGCAGAGTTAAGGTTCATGTCACCCCCATACAATGTAACCTTAACTCTGCCCTGTCTCAGCATCAGCATCACCCCAGCATGCTAGCACTCTCCCCTTCTAGCTACCGAACTCTCTAGGAACAGCACTGGAGCAGCACAGCACAAAGTCTAACAACTTCTCTTTGCTGAGGCAAAACTTGAATTTAGGTCCAGCATGATGAATGGAAGTCCCCCGCCCCACACTCAAACACCAAGCCCCCTCCACAGAAACCAGCTCAGACTTGCAAAAGGATATCACCGCTTTGCCCTCTCTAGCTGAATCACTGACTTTGCTTGTCCCTCCTTGTGACAAATGAGGGATCTTCTAGAAAAGTGGATCAGGGGAAAAGCTATTTCGAGCTTTGAAGACATGTGTGATTTCTGTTGTTCAGGAAGAATTCCTGAATATGTCTAATTATGATTAAAGCCCTGCAAATCCATGCATATGTGCTTTATATCCGTTTTTGCAGATATCATTTTTGTATCTAGACCCCTGCACGTTTGTGGATATCCCCTTTATATCCAGGGGTATCTGTGCAGGGCTCTAATGATGATGTAAAAGAGTGTTTATGGGATAAAAAGGTGTAATGAGTAGAAGCTCTTGCTTCCTGTGCTGATCAGTTTGAGCACTCAGTCACCTGGTAAGAGTAAATCTCAGGCAGAGGTATTTAAGTTTGGTGGGAAACGAGGTCCCTGCTTTACTCTGGGAAGAAAGAGGGTGAATGGAAGGCTGGGCATTTGCATTCACAGTTTCACTCCCCTGTTACTTATCAAAAGTCACTTGTACAGACTGAGGAGCCCAAAAGATGCTGTCACTGAAATTCCACTGAGCACCCGAAGAAGAAATACCTACTACCTGTTCCCACTCAGCATAAGGCAACACATGGGAATGCTGCTCCCCAGAACACAAAAGCACCTCAAACAGTGTCCACTTATCACACAGGATTTCTAAAGGTTGTTGCTGCACAGCCAAGCAGGAAGCACCGCAAGCAACAGCTGTTCTTGTGCAAAAACTTGCCAGGTGTCTACACTGCACACGCGTTCTTGCGCAAGTAAATTTACAGCCAGCATCAGAAAACAGGTCTTCTTCCGGAAGAGTTATTCCTCTCCCCACGAGGAGTAAGCCCTCTTGTGCAAGAGCTCTTCCACAAGAGGCCAGTGCAGACAGGCAACATAAATTTCTTGCGCAAGAAGCCCCTATGGTTAAAATGGCCATTAGAGCTTTCTTGCAAAAGAAAGCATCCATACTGCCATGGATACTCTTGCGCAAAAGCACCTGGCAGTGTGGATGTGTTCTTGCACAAGAACTCTTGCACAAGAACCCACCAGTGTAGACATAGCCCAAGAGTGGGGAAGAGATTTCTGTGGTCAGGAAGGTCCTGGTCCAGAGAGAAGATATGTTGCCAGGGTGGATGGCAGAACTTGAATTAGTGGGAGGCCACAAAATCTTTGTGTCTTGGGCTCGAGTGCACATAGAAACTGGGGATCTGCAAGCTGAACTGATGGTAGCTGCAGTGTCTAACAACTCATATCCAGTGTGAATTGGGAATGACTTTGTTAATGTGGCTAAGACAGTCCAAGGGTCTGTTAAGCAGTGAGAAGGGATCTTGTGCTAAAACCCCAGGAGGGGAGGGAAAAGCCACAAAAACAGCTGAGGAAATGGAAGGGTGTCTCTTTAATTCCTCACCAGGAGCGCAAAGCCATGTGTCACAAGGGGTGGATAAATCCAGCTCCTGGTCATCTTCCTTGGGGAGGGGAGTGTCTTGCTCTCCAGCACTCTGGAGCAGGGAAAAAATCCTGCCCTAGCATGCAGGCACATGTTTTGAAGGAGGGCCTTCAAGGGGAAATTGGGGTCCAAGAAGCCACTATGAGCGATGAGGATTCCTAGGGCTTGGTAACTGAAGGCCAACCCGCTTCTAAGGGAAAGAAGGGTACAGGCTATCTAGTGAAGAGTCTGTCTTGACTAGAGCTGGACAGGGGACACACTTCATTCTGGAGAACACAAGTATGCCCTGAGAAGGAAGGTGTCAAGGCTATTCTTTGCTCTGAAACTCTGAGTGCAGAAGTTGGGAGCCCGCAAGAGACTCTATAGGCTTCTGCTTTAAAAAAAACTCCCCAAGGGCACAGATTCCCTGGCCTTGGGAGATGGGCTGTCACCATCAAGTGAAAAACCCATTCTTTGTCCCAGGAAGAAAGCACTTGAACTTCTTCCAGAGGGGTATCCCCAAGTTCTTTTACCACAAGAAAGCTTGGGGGCAAAAGAGAAGACAAGCTGCAATCTCTGATAGCTGACCTCTCAGGCTGTGTCTAGACTGGCCACTTTTTCTGGAAAATCAGCCGGTTTTTCGGAAAAACTTTCCCGCGTGAAAAACCCATTCTTTGTCCCAGGAAGAAAGCACTTGAACTTCTTCCAGAGGGGTATCCCCAAGTTCTTTTACCACAAGAAAGCTTGGGGGCAAAAGAGAAGACAAGCTGCAATCTCTGATAGCTGACCTCTCAGGCTGTGTCTAGACTGGCCACTTTTTCTGGAAAATCAGCCGGTTTTTCGGAAAAACTTTCCCGCTGTCTACACTGGCTGCTTGAATTTCCGCAAAAGCACTGACGATCTCATGTAAGATTCTCAGTGTTTTTGCGGAAATACTATGCTGCTCCCGTTTGGGCAAAAGTCCAATGGTGATCGGGGCTTTTTTGCGGAAAAGCACGTCTAGATTGGCACGGACGCTTTTCCGCAAAAAGTGCTTTTGCGGAAAAGCGTCCATGCCAATCTAGATGCTCTTTTCCGAAAATGCTTTTAACAGAAAACTTTTCCGTTAAAAGCATTTCCAGAAAATCATGCCAGTGTACATGTAGCCTCAGTCTTAGGTATTCACTGACAGACCTGTTACCTTCCAGGACTCGAGAATTAAATCATAGCCTTAAAAAAGATTTTATTAACAAAACAAAAAATATACTTGGTAAAGTATACTTGGCTACTAGATGTTACAGAGCAACTGAGAAAAGAGCAAATTAAAACAGAGAGAAATTGTATCTCTTGGATCCAGCTTAAAATACAGTGTATGGGGGGAAGGGGGAATACATGGACTTAGCAGAGAGAAGTTTAACCAAACAACAAAACGAAGAAAATAACCTGATTGAGTCTAAACAGTCAGACGGAAGGTGAGGATGGGAACAGGTGTGTCTCCCTGCTTATTACAGGGGAAATGCCAGACACCTCATCTGTGGCACAGGTTGTAAGAAGGATGTGTGTGTCTGATCTCCTGGAGGGAAGCAGTCACATAACAGGACCTCTTGGGGACGGGGCAACAAAGGGTGTCCCCAGGATGACTGGCAGTGCGTCACTGAGACAAGGTGGGTATAGGAGCTGAGGTTCTCTGGAAAGGCCCCACATTTGCAAAATGTGTATCCTGCTGTACTTGGGAAAACTCTCTCTGTCTCCTCACGGCAAAGAGGGGTCTGTTCCAAGCAAGCTGGTTTCTATGAATGTGCAACTGAACCACCCTTTGAGCGGGCAGTGACAGCCACTTCCTGGGCAGGGAAACCCCTCCCCACACCCAAGCATCAGGCATTGAGTGTTAAGAGTGATTGTACCAGGGTCATTACTCATGGCTGCAGTGCCTCCTGCTGGTCTCCTCAGGAATTAGCTCTTCAGCCCCAGGGCCCCTTTGGCTGGAGGGGTGTCTTGCCCTGTCGTTGCACTGGTTCAGGCCCCATGTCCCTTCCTGCCCACAGTGCCCTTTTGTCACAGTACTGCCCTGTGCACTGCCCCCACAGTCTGGGGTCCTCCCTTCCCAGGGAACCCCAGCCCCCTATACCTACCTTGCTCAGTGACCCACTGCCAGTCATCATCTAGCCCCTGCCTCAGGGGCAAACTGCAGTGTGAAATGGCCACTCATCATTGGCGAGGGGATGTTAACTTGCTGCCTCCTGCAGCCCTAGTATCCTCAGGCCTTGAGAGCAAGGCCTCAGCCTGGGAGTTTGCCTGGATACATCTCCCCAGCTCTCCCTGCCTTTCCCCAGTTTCCTAGGCAGCCAGGTCCTTCCTGCTCAACAGCTGGAGCAAGAAAGAGTCTCTTCCCCAAGAGCCCCTATTTATACTAGCAGCAAGGCCCTAATTGGATGCTACCTGGCTGCTTCCTCCACAGCCCCAGCCCTCTCCCAAGGCTGGATTTAACCCTTGTTAGGGCTAGTTCAGTGCAGATGCCCCCTCACAGTGATCCGTGCAATGGGATCTCAGGAGAGGGAAGAGGAGGAGACTGCGAGATCTCCATGCACCCTTTCCTCCCCAGAACCTCATAGACACACTTGAACTGAAAACCTTTAGGCTGTGTCTACACTGGCGCGATCTTGCGCAAAAGCAGCCGCTCTTGTGCAAAAACTTGCTGCCTGTCTACACTGACCGCATGTTCTTATGCAAGTAAACTGACGTTCTAATGTATGAATCAGTGCTTCTAGCGCCAGAACTCTGATGCTCCCGTTCAGGAATAAGCCCTTTTGAGCAACTGTTCTTGCGCAAGAGGCCAGTGTAGACAGGCAACATGAATTTCTTGTGCAAGAAAGCTCTATGGTTAAAATGGCCATCAGAGCTTTCTTGCGCAAGAGAGCGTCTACACTGGCAAGGATGCTCTTGCACAAAAGCACATGCCAGTGTAGACACTGTCTTGTGCAACTACTTTAACGCAAGAACTCTTGCGCTAAGGAGTTTTTGCGCAAGATCATGCCAGTGTAGACGTAGCCTTACTGAAGGAAAAGGAGAGCCCGTATCTAAATACACACTTAGGTACATGAAGGGATTGAAAGATGCCATGAACACTAAACAATCCAAGTGGTCTAGACCAGCGTTTCTTAAAGTGTGTTCCGTGGCACGCCGGTGTGCCATGGAGAGAACAGAATTAAAAATGGCCACCCTTAAGGGGACAGAAAAAAATAACAAAGGGTCTGGTAGCACTTTATAGACTAACAAAACATGTAGATGGTATCATGAGCTTTCATGGGTTATGAGTTATGAGTAGGGGATATGAAAACTCGAAATAAATAAGAGAAGTGGGGGGAAGAGAATGATGCTCTGTCTCCCATCCCCATCCTGTTTTTTCTTTAAGTATCTGGATAATTGGTGCTAAACCTAAGCAGATAAAGATCAAAGTCAATAGATAGATTGCGAAGAGAGGAAGGATACCACTCAGAAAGCTGTTAGCACCTTCAATGGTAGAGTCCCCGCCAGTTTAAATCCCGATTGAGTCCATTAGCATGTGAATTGAATTTGTGTATATAATGCAATTCCAAACTTTGTGTATTTGGCTTGAGGAGCTGGCCTGTGACAGCCAAATACACAGAGAAAGTTTGGAATTACATTACTTACACACATTCAATTCACATGCTCATAGACTCAATGGGGATTAAAACTGATTGTAAACCCCTTAAAAATATGTGACATACTTGATTTTTTTGGGGGAAAAAACTCTTTTGTATATGCTAGGAATTGTGCCAAGAGAGTCTCATCAGCATCCTGCTTCTCAGCTTATATCTGTTACCAGACTCATCATATGTCTACAGTACAGAGTTTTGTTGGAAAAATGGCCATTTTTTTGACAAAACCTGAGTTGCGTCCTTTCGAAAGTAAATCGAAAGAATTCGAATAAACTTGGGGCTTTTAGAGTTGTTAGACTATTTAAAAAGAAAATATTGCTGCTGTCCGCCAAACTGACAGGTGAGTCTTGCGCCTGTGAGCATGTAGGGAGCTGCCCACTGGGTTTTACTACTTTAAAATGGGCTGGTGTTAAAGTAATGGAATCTTCGTTGTGACAAACGTCCCATGAATCCTCCTGATCTCCCTTGTTTTCTATCCTCTGAGCAGGGTTTCAAGTTTCCAAACCTGATGTGATTTCACAGATGGAACGAGGGGAGGAGCCTTGGGTCCTCGAGCTTCAGGGCTCTGAGGAAGAAGCGATCCTGAGAGGTGCCTGCACAGGTGAGGGATCATTAAACTAACTCAAAAACTCTGAGGGCCCAAAGCAAACAGCTGTCACTCCTTGTACAGGTCGTGAGAGCTCCTGGAGTTCCGGAGTATCCCAGAGAAGTTGTTATCTGGGGTTAAGAATATGGTATTTGATATGGGTATGGCTCGCCTGATCTGACTGGGAGGTTCTAGTTTTGGCATCCCATCCCAGTTACAGAGTTTGAAAGCTATGTAACTCTATTTCTGGAAGCGGATCTGGGAGCCCACAGCAGTCACGATTACACTGCGAGCAGTGCCAAATAAAACAATTTTTATTAGGATTGGTATTAAGATTGCAAACAATACAAAGTACACAGCAAGGGTTACACAAATGGATTCAGTCATCCCAGAGGGTAGCATAAATGAAACCTGGGTATACCATTGTGATTTATCTAAGCAGTTTCAATTACCTAGTATAGTACCGTGTCCACACACACCCTCCTGGAGAACCTGGGCGTGGAGGAACCAGCCCCCTTCGCCGGTGGCACTTGGATCTCAGTAAAAGGTGGAGTATGATAAGCAGAATATGATAGAGAGAAACTTAGAAAGAATGAATAAAGGAAGGAGTTTGAGGTAGACAGCCTCAGGCAGAAAGTTCTTTGTGAGGAAATAAAATCTTGCCGGACAATGACTGCTATAAGTTTTTGTGTGTAATTTTTTCATTATCTTAGCCAACTTCTTAAGGTCAAAAACAGGTTTCCACACCCTGAGATTCTGAGGGTACACACATCTGATTCGATGATTGAATTGGGGCGTCCTTTGAATATACATGAGTAAAATCATTTGATGCCCTTTCGGACCAGTTCCCTGAAGTGGGAAAAATGGGATCCTGCGGCCAGATACTCATGCCTTCTGTTTCCTTGATCGGGATGTCAGTTTGGCTGGGTCTTGCATTTTTGGACTCTTTTTAGATCTCACGAGGTATTGACTCACATCTAATCACGCCAGTGTGGCCATTATGAGTATTCTGACCCAACTGAAAATTTCACCACAAACCTTTTCACAGCTTCTAAAATCTATAAACAGGATTTTATATCCTTTAACCCTTAATTATACCACTACCGCCAAAGCTAACTTCTTATACGGTA